CTGCATGTTCATAGTCTGAGAAACTGTAATTATTCTGAGCCACGTTTAGAAAAAAAACATTAATAATCAGAAAAAAACGCAACAGCCAGAGAAAAAACAAAGCAGAGGATAACACCATTGTCATTGTCGTTTTTCCGCTTTATGACATTGAGTTTACTGCGAGAAAGAATTACTCAAAAATGGATAATGAGGTTAATATTCAAGTCCAGAACAACTTGCATAGTTACCAATGCAGCTAACACCCATATAATCAAAATCCTTTCAATGTGGATTTACGAAGTACCTTGCAAGTCTGGGAGGAAGCACATGAGCAAAGCGGGTCAACCTAATGAAGAAGAGATAGAAACAGCACTCGAATGGACTAACTTCATAACGCCATGCCAATTTACTTCAGCATTAAAATATGCAACAAGGCATAGACTCAAGACAGTTGAGACAATGTGATGAAAAGTGCTCAGTGCCCATAGAGTATGCTGAAGAAATGAAAAATCATACAACGATGTTAGCTGACTAAATATACTGCAAAAACTTCCTTAAGCAGAAGATATAGAAACCATTGTCGACATCCAAGAAGGCCCTATTGTAAACCTCTGCTGCAACTCATTGAGAAGTTATAACTACGACGATTTAAGCACGTTTCACGAATGCTTCCGTCAAGGAAAAGGAAATCGCTCCTACATGCTCACTCAACCGGTCAACGACCCCAGTTCGGCCAAGAATGCCTTGGGGAAAGGTGTCTCGAAAGACTCAGCCTCAGACTCGGGTATTCTTGTGTGTAAGTTCAGATGATGGCGTAGAATAGAGTACGATTTAGAAGCTATCTGTCACTGCTGGCTCCGCGACTCGGAAGAAACAGCTGACCAAACTCATCGAAACTGACTGACCAATGGATGCGGTGGATAAATCGGCACTCAGTCAATTTAATTCAGTGGGAGACTACGTTCATATTTTTAAGCTTGGCAGTTCATATTATCGACGTCAAATTACCTATAATAATTAATAGTTAAATTTACCTTTAATTGCTGATTTAATGCAGTAGCGTACGGTAGTGTAAATTTTTCTTCCAATGGAGGATCAAGCACGGTTCAAAACGTCGAAGGCTTGCTAAATGAAATTAATATGTAACGTTATCTCGTAATTAATTGCCTTTTCATACGCTTAACAGTTCGATTCGTTTGTTTAGTCATATGCACGAAAAATTTTCTACCAGCCGTACGAAAATTTGAACGAAAGCAGCGACGAGTACGTATTATTCAAGTAGGAGATCTTTTGAGAAACTTTCTTTCCAACAGGTACATGAAGGAAATTATTTTCGAGCGAGGGTGCAGCGTACAATTGCAGGTCTGTTTGAAAAAGAGTCAAGAGCTGTTCAAGGACACCATGACGCGATGTAGTGACAGTACTGAGGGTAGCAGCCCATGTAGCAGGTAATTATTACTGTTATTTGGTTTTGAAATTCTTGAAAATAGCGGCTAATAGTAGTTTATAACACACAAGATTTTCAAGGCCCACCGTTCATTCAGGGCCAGTCCATTGACATTAAGCGATCGTATGATGAAAAATGAAAAACTACAAGTGTACGTCAATAGGCGGTGAAGGCTCTTATGAAATATAAAAACGTCTGCCTGTGTTTGTTCTTGATCTCTGACATTCAGGGCTCAGATCTTTTTAAATGAGGAAATATGGTCATGAGGCAGCCCACCAGCATTGGCGGCCCGCATACTCCAACTTGGTCAGGTAAGTTTTAAAGTAGAGATCCATTTGAGTGTTTGAAATCTTTCCTTCACCCTCCGTGGATTTAGGACGAAATAATTTCACAATGCTTCCGTTCAAAGTGATTATGTATAAGGGGCTGTTACACCTCTCATGAGACCTGCCAGGATACGGTCACGGATTAACTGCTTCAGTTCGCTGGTATCGATCCGGCGCAGATTCTTAGTCGTTTATTTCATGATTTCCAGATGCTGATTCGTCCTTCTTTCCTACTCATGTTCTAAAGCTGGTGTATGATGTTTCAAGTATGTCCTACGGCTATCTCTTCGTCTTAAAATGTAGACTGTCTCGCCGTTTCTGTTTCATTTGGCAAATGGTGAGTTTTCTGTAATCAGGCTTTTACTGGATAAAACACCGTGTATCGTGTACTTCCCAATGGATTGCGTTGAGTCTGGCTTTATTTACCATAACGATGGAGAGGCGGAAGCAAATTTTCGTCATTCGGCACGCATTAGCAAACTTTTTATATCCTATATTGTATATATTACATGTATTTGCAAAGCAATATATGTAAGTCATTACATGGGCATAATACCTTGCCCTTTTAAGCACAGTTTACCTCAGATGACAAATGCTAAACAACAACGTCATTTCACTGCATGAACATACGGTAGTTCAGAAACTTGAAATTTTATTTTAATGAATGGGTGCCAATTATATGTAAATATTCTGACTATTACCATCGAGTTTAGAACTCCGGTTGCGATTCGCAGATCCGCCTACTGCTACGCCATTCAACAAGGCAGCGAAGAGGAATTTTCGTTCGCTTTAAAGATGCTCTCCAATGAAGTCTTGCAAGAGGAGCGATGCAACCTGATTTATGCGATATTATGCACTCAGCATTCATACCTGATCAGAAAGTAAGCACTACCAACTTTTCCTGTCACATGCTTGTCGGCATTTCAAAGCAAAACTTCGTTCTCTTTTTCGTCCATACTGCGACTTTGTCCAAGGGCCTCTGTAACTGTCACATTTTTCGACCTTGTTTCGTAGTATTCTGTGCTGAAATTGTTGGATGTTGCTGCAGCCCGTGAAACTCTTGCTTCGCGGTGCAGATCGTCAGTGTCATTACGTGAGGCATTGTAGTGAAAGGGACGCACTGCTGAGTCATAAAGTTATGCGATGCAGTGCACTTCAAACTCAGACCTGAAGAAACACTGAAGTTTTAGTCAAGGGCATGAAATGAAAATTCCTAATGCTGACTATCAACTTGTAAAATCTTGTTCGAGGATCTGAAGAGCTGCAGGCTGAAACTACGTTGCAAATCATCTCAATCATTTCTCACGAAGGAACTGACCAAGCGAGTTCCTGAAAACTGGACTCCGGTCAGTAAAAGGAGTCAGATAAATTCAGAAGTTGATTTGGTACAATTGACCTGTACTGGGTGGAGCTGCAAGTGGTTATGAAAGATAGCGAAAGTCGATAATTTCAACAAAGCTTTCGTCCGTGTTTATGACTGATTTGTACCATATGCCCTACGGAGGTTCAGAAGCAGGTAAAGATATAGCGGACACATCACTATGAATTAAAAAAAACTGTGGATACGGTAAAGCCTCACCTAAGCAGGTACAAATTCAAAATTGGAAACGACGTTCGACAGAATGACGCAGCATGAGGAAGATTTTTCAGACGAGTCGTGAAAGAGCTTTCCAAAAGATTTCGCTATGAAAATCAGGCTTGCAAGTTAATGGACTACCTGAACCGTCAGCAGTTTCAGGCGATACAGTAATCTTCTGTCTGAAAAAATGATGATCAGGCAAATCCTTGATAGGCATCTGTCAAATTCGCACTTTCGAATATCATGCCAAACGTATTTGCAATTGCTCGTGGTGCTGCAGTACTGTGTGACACAGCTGATTTATATAACCAAAGTTACCTCATGAGTAAACCGCTTAACGAGGTATTCTCTTGTCACAGGTTCAAGAACGAAAATGCTGATTCTGGATACGTGAAATTTGACCTCGATTTCGATTGCTTCCTATCAGGTGTTGGAAATAATCCATTGGCAAGGACCATCTATAGCGATGAAATGCCGCGATACTTTTAGTAAGATTTATCTATTTTGTATTCGCAAAATTACGGTACAATTTTTTTCACAATTCATTCCAGCGACTTGTATGCGCACGGCGGAGATCAATTAAGCGACATTACATTCGGACCTGGCGAACCAAGAAGCAAACGAGAGGTATGACAAACTTACTGCAAAGACTGCGACAGAAATTTCGAAAGACCTCATTATTAACTTTACACGATCCCACACGGATTAAAGTGAAAGTTACCAAAAGTGAATATTATGCGCATGCCCTACTGAAACCTTCAGCTGTAAACGGCCCAGGAATCAGTGAAAGAGTCCCCTGAGATAGGTTCGGACGGTAATATCCTTAACGATATCTGTCCGTGTCCAAAATCAGAAAGTTCTCCATATTCTCTGAATCATTGGATTTGGAGGAGGTTACAAGTAGTTCCTGAGGGTTCGCAATACAAACAGACCCTTTAGAAAAATTTCGCCAAATAAGGGCCCGGAATTAACAAAGATTGGAGGCACCTCGACTAGCGTTCTTTGTGTGCACACGAAGAGAACATTTTGGATGAACACGGCGACGAAAACAATTTACTGATGTCAAGTATCCGGTTAAATTAGGCTAGCGGTCTCTAAGCTCATTTGACTATTACATTTATAATTTCCTTCAAAAAAATCACGTGATAATGCTGAGAAAATGGGCAAGCGAGCAAATGACTCTTGGGAGACAGAAAAGATTCATATTACCTTTATTTAATTCTGATTTAATTCGATGATTCACGAAACAGACATTAATTGGTTGGTCGGTCGTTGTTGAATGTTAAACTTTAAAACAGTAAATTGAACTTTAGGATACTTCATTAGAAGTGGTGAGATAAAAATCCCTTGAAGTCGTCGATTAATGCAGGAACAATATGCCTTTAACGTTCTTGCAAGAGAGTGCCTAAAATGTCGCTAAATTTATTGTTAATATGCACCAACTTTTGAAAACAAATCAATTTTTAAGGGTCAGAGTACGTCCAGCAGATTCCGGAGGAATTCACGGGCACTATCGATGGCACCACTCAGTGAAGCTGAGGTATCTCTTGCGGCTGAAGCACTCAGAGCAAGGGTGTCGTTGATGACTGCATAGTGAAAACCGACAAAGATCGTGAGCCAACTGTGCGGTTGCACAAAGCCATATCATTGCTGTTGATTATAATAAATTTAGTTTTTAATACTGAAATATTGTGTACGATTCTGTACTTTTAACTCTGCCCAGAGCAGGATAGCTGGATATTTTGTTGATCTCGTTTAAGTATTTAACCATCACTTTTAAGTGTTCAGAAGCTGTCGTGCAGCATGTAGGACTGTAAGAAGTCTAAATCAGAATCATTCGTCACATTTTTCATTGGAATACGGTAGTAATACTGCGTTTACTTGGATAAACCTTCCAGGAAGCGAAAACTTAATTGGGGTTGATTTCGAACTGTTCATACTTTGATGCGTTTAAAAGCCACGATGATCATCTATTTCCTAAACAACAGTGCAGCTGCGCTTCTGTCAGGCACAAAGCGTTTCTGAGCCGTAGCAACTTTCTGTGCTAGAGGATAGTAGCATCATCTTAGCGCTTTGCTTCTGGACAAAATTCTGAGGAAGCCATCAATTGGTCCCGGTATTTGAGTTTGACTTCTAAATAACAGGTGGTTGCTCGTTAATGAGCAACTTCAGTATTCAGACGTACGAGGGTGGTAGATAACCAAGGACTTTGGCATTATATCCTCCAACTCGTTTCCACGCAGGGATGATTGACTCTCACGCAACTTTAAATCCTAGCACCCACTTCCCTACTCCGAGTATGAATGAGTGTGGTGGTATTCACTTCCATTTAAGACCGCTTTCATTCACATTCCAAACAAGCTCACGGCTCTACCCTCAACGGCTACTTGGAAAGCAATTGAGCTCTGTATCCTTAATTCTTCCATTTCCTCTTAAAGGTAGAGGAAATGCTCTTCGACGTTGTGTTTAAACATTTATTCATTTTCTCAACTAGCTACTCCTCGACGTGTTATTTAACTCGTCGTCAGCCTTGTTGTGAAATTTGACGACGTTTTTCCATCCACAAATCCTGCATGAACGTTCTGATGCCTAAAATAGATAGACTGAAAGTCTTGA